GCCATTGTACAACAAATTTGACCAGGTTGGGGTGATGAATTGGTCGCGTAGTCGACGTACTTCTCGATCTAGCGTTAGTCCTTCCAAATCGATATGTGCAGCACGGAGGATAGTGCCGCCAGGTGTTTCGTAACACCCACGTGATTTTATTCCAATGTATCTGTTCTCGACAATGTCGATACGACCGATACCGTTGCGACGAGCCAAAGTGTTGAGGTATATAAATAATTCCAGAGAGTCGGTGTGAATAGTGTTGTCATTATGGTTGTGAACTTTAACTGGAATACCCTTTTGAAAAGTAATGGTAATACGTTCTGGAGTGTCTGGTGCATCTTCTGGATTAACAGTAAGTTGCCACATGTCTTTTGGTGGAGTCGCATTTGGATCTTCAAGAACACCAGCCTAATTCAAATGATGTCACACGATAAGTTATAATAATAGTGGAAAAAGATACCACGATAAAAACACGACGTGCTCAATACTATTATTATTAAAAAAACTCACTTCATATGAGATATGATAGATATTTCCATCGGTACTCCAAGGTGCCTTTGTAGTCTGAACAACAGGAATATTCTTTTTCGCAGCATATTCAAGAAGAGATTGTCGACCAGGGAATCGTTCATAGAATTCTAATTGTATATTGTTAATTGAGATTAATTGCTTATAATTATTATTTTGAATCTTCATCAAGAATTCGAAATTCGATGATTCGTCATACCAGGAATACGCCACGGAGAAATGACTTTAATGTCAGGTTTCAAAGCATAATACGCTAATTCGAAGCGTACTTGGTCGTTCCCTTTACCGGTACACCCATGTGACACGAATTGACATCCTTCGCGGATAGCAATTTGTATCTGAAATAAATAATTATGTGAGTAGATTGTTTAATTGTCTAAACAATAGAATTTAAATTTTTTACTTACTTGACGACGAGCAATAACCGGACGAGCAAGTGAAGTACCCAATAGGTACACATTCTATTAAATAAATAGAATAATCATTTGGTCAGAAAACATAACATTCAATATTTTGAAGATTAAAATATAAAGTCTCACCTCGTAAATTGCATTTGCTTGCACAGCAGGAAAGATCAATTCATCTACATATTCTTTGCGTAAATCCTAATTTTTAAATTTAAATTAACAGATCCTTAATTCGATGAAACACTTATCCAAATATACGAAAATTTTATCAATCCTAATCATATCGATTTTTACCTCAATAAAAACACCTTTAGCACCAATTTTCAAAGCTTTAACCCTCGCTGCTTCATAATCTTCTTCCTGTCCAACATTTGCCATGTAAGCAAAGACATCGTATCCTTGTTCAATAAGCCATACTAAAATGCAAGAAGTGTCTAAACCACCGGAATATGCTAATAGTACACGACCTTTTGACATTTTTATATTTGTATCAGTAATATGTATGTAAAAGTTTATGAATATGAAATTGTTGTCTTGAGAGGATGAGTATCTTTTCGAGAACTCAGAAATTGGATATTTATCTATTTTCTTGCATATACATAGCCTATTCAATATTTAGATTTGATAAATTTTGAGATTGATCAAAAAAAATTTAATCTATGATCTTGTGAGAATCAATCCATCTCTAGACGAATTTTGAGTGGTACAAACGCCAATCTAAGATAATAGATTATAATTTTATTGGAATCAAACAATACATAATTTAATTCGAAAATTTGATCAAATGAATATGATTCATAGTTTTCTGTATATGAATAAATAAATAAATAATTAATAATTTATTATTAAAACCAAAAAAAAATATACGTAGATCTCAAAAACAATGACAAAAAAGAGAAATATTTCTTTTCAAGAAATATAAAGATAAAAAACGATATGAAGCCTTACGAAATGTTGTTATCCAACGAAATGACAACAGCACTGGCACCACCGCCACCATTGCAGATACCAGCAACACCAGTTTTGCCGCCATTAATTGTCAACACATTTAATAATGTGGCAATAATTCTGGCGCCCGAACAGCCCAATGGATGACCAATGGCTACAGCACCACCAAACACATTCACTTTATTTTTATCTAGTCTAAGGAGCTTTAGATTTGCCAATGCTACCACGGAAAATGCTTCATTGATTTCAAAATAGTCGATCGCTGAAATTGGTACATTTCCGGCATGTTGGAGTGCTTTTGGAATTGCGAGAGCTGGTGAAGTTGTGAATTTAGATGGAGCCTAATGATAACAAGCAAGTATTTTTTAGTTACACTTAATAATCAGTGAATATATTTAAAATGAATACGCATAAAGAGTAAAAGATTACCTGTGCTGCATCGCCCCAACCAATGATCTTACCAATTACTTTTATTCCTAATTCGCGTGCTTTTTCTGCACTAACTAAAACCAAAGCTGCACCTCCATCACTAAGGGGTGACGAATTTGGAGCCGTCACAGTACCATTATCAATGAAAGCGGGTTTTATTGATCGTAATTTATCGATATTAAGCTTGTTTATTGACAAGAAAAAAAGAATCAATATAAAGAAAAGCATCAAAGAACAAAAACAAAAAGGCTCATTCTTACATTTGATACTTCGTCATCTTTATTCACAATTATATCAGGTTTGCCTCTAGTCCCTTTTATAGTCACCGGGAAAATTTCATCTTTAAAATAACCGGCAGCTTGAGCAGCTTGAGCCCTTTTATAAGATGAAATAGCATATTCATCCTATTCAAAAAATCCAATTTTATTAATAGTGACTTTATAATCCAGAAAAAAAGGATTCTACGCTATGATTATATACCTGCTCTGCACGATTGAAACTATATTCTGTTGAACAAGTTTCAGCCGCGATCCCCATCAAGTTATTATCGTATGCATCAGTTAATCCATCTTTGATAATACCATCGACGAGGGTCTGATCGCCGTATTTTGATCCGAATCGTGCTTTAGGCGCATAATATGGTGTATTTGTCATTGATTCGGCACCACCAGCAACAACAATCTACACGAAAACGTTATTTATTAGACGAATTTCTATGTACATCCAAACTCACATTCCTTATCAAAATGCGAAGGATAACATTTTTGTGTATACATACATCTGCATTACCAGTAATGATTGTTTGAGCAGCAAGGATGACCGCTTTCATTCCAGAAGCACAAACTTTATTAACAGTTGTCGCTACCACTGATTCTTTAAGGCCAGCTCCTAATGCAGCTTGTCGTGCAGGATTCTGACCTGATAATAATTCAATTAAATATGAATTTCGATCTGATTAAATTTCTTTGTGAAAACTACACCTCAAAGAGGACGAGAAAATTTACCAAGATTTGCTGAAAGAACATTGCCGAAAAAGACTTCTTCCACTAGATTAGGTTCGATTTCCGCCTTTTTTAAAGCAGCTTAAAGACAACAATAAATTATCATTGACAGTTATTATTAGAAATATATTATTACAGTATTAGCTATGAAAATCAGCAAAATAAAACCACATTCCTGTGCCTGAGACAAAAGTAAAAAATGTACCTTGTATTGCAAGTGACCCAAGTTTCGTAGCACTTAAGGAAGCCAAAGAGCCATTAAAGCCACCAATTGGTGTACGTGCAAACGAGGCAATGTATGCGACTATTAAAGATATTCACAAACAAATGTAAAATTCCGAGCTTCAAGGACTTTTAGATGTTAAAAGGCATTATAGACTTACTTCGTGGAAAAGTCATTAGTAGTCTTTACACCAAAAAATTTCACCTTAGAAAATAAGGACGGAGTGAATTGCATTTTAAAAAAAAATTCATTTTGCTTTAAAAACAAATCGGATCCGCCTAAATTTAGCAATGAACTATCTATCTGTTATGGAATTAACCAAAATAATAACGTTAACCGATTTTAGGTGAATGGAAAGTAAAATGAAGGGACTATCAACATACGTGCGAAATACATATATAAAAAATGTCATACGATCATTTTGGCAATATCTGGAATTTGCTTCCAAAACAATAATCAAATGTCCCGATTGTATTTGGATGACCAAGAGAACCGGCCACAATTTTGTCATTCTAAAATAAAAATTCTTTTAAAATTGAATCATCATTCAAATTATTACTTTATATAGTCATACTCCGTTTATGTTTTTGTAGCTGATACAAATGAAAAGTAGGACATAAACTGCATAAATCATCTGTAACGGTGTGCAGTGTCATTTTGATAAAATAACAGGTCATAAATTTCAGGCAGCATATGAATCTTCCGGATTAGCCAAAATTTGCCGGTAAATTCCTTGACTTAAAGATGTTGTGTCAACGCGCGTTTTATATTACCACAATGTCTTTCCTTTTACTTTTCCATATCGATATACACAGTAAGTCCCTAAAAAGGTCTTTGGTCTAATAGAGATTTTCTCTCCAAACATGATTCTCTTAAGTAGTACTTGCAACTCATACAGCGGCCCCCCCCCCAAATTCCGCTGCCAGAAATTCAAAACACGACAAATAGCCTGTATCTTAAATTTTTGCTTATAAACGGCCATTTGTAACAAAAAGTGTTCCTTGCGAAATTTACTATAAACTATATTCCCGTCTGCTGCATAACCCTAACCCTAACCCTAACCCTAACGGAAACTCTAACATAACTTGGATTAATAAAGAAGCCTGGTTCACTGTGTTATTGAACTAATAGTAACGGTAACTTTGTAATACCAAAAAAATAACGATCGTCAGGTTCGGATTTTCCGGCATTTAATTTAACCTCAATGATATTTTATTTCTACATGGTATGTGACATTGAACAATGCATATAAAATTTCGCAAATCATTCAAGAAGACATATGAAACTTGAGTTTATATAGACTTTGTATACGTAATTGAACAAATTCTCGAGGACCAATTTTAAGCGAATTGCTAGAAATTCGCAAATAGATTATTATTATCATCGCATTAATGCGTTCATATTATCAACACTATTAATACAGTAATATCTAATAATAGTAAGCACTAATAAATAATGTAATCTTCGATCTTAAATCGAAAACAATTGTTTTAATTCTCGGATAGTATCATCAGGACTCGAAACTGAGTGGCCGATAACCTTTGGATGATTGTAAATCTCATAGTCGTTTCCTCCCTTTTGGAGAAATAATCCAAAATCCATGATTAGTTGGTCTGTAACTCGCATTTAAATCAGAAACAAATTAAAAATCAAACAATTACTTCGAATGTTTTATCACCAAAGAAATGAATAGTTGTAAATCCTTCGGATTCTATATGCCTTAGACAGTATGTCTTGTCCCAACCGGTTGGAAAAACGTCGAATGATATTTGGCCACCTTGAGGTTTATAAATAGTTTATATTAAAAAATATTAAAAAGTCATTACTGATGAATTTTTTTTACCAATCGAAAAGGTTAAACCGTAATCGGAAAATTCCTTTCTCAAAACTTCAACAAATTTTGGACGGATGTTATGTATCTTTGTATTGAATGAAAGATAATTTAGTGAAAAAAAAACCAATTTATTATTTACAGAAGTGCATAAACATACTTTATCGTATTCCTCAAATTCATTTCTTTCCTCGACACTTTATGGGAATATGAATAGTTAATTATAAATAATTAATCTCTGAATTTTTAGTTTTAATAATTCTTTAATCACCTGCAATCTCTTCCGATTGGTGACACATTTATCATTCCATTTCGAAACTCGATAAACGTGCCACTAAAATAGAATATTGATTAATAAAATAAGGAAATTGAATTATTTGAAAGTAAGAATTTAAATAAAAACCGTTTTTTGGGAATTTCAAGATTTGCGATATATTTTAGTATAAAATTCGCTATTTTAATGTATTTTTCTTCGCCAATCCAATTTATAAAGTTCTTTTTAAATTTAGTTAGTTAATTAGTTTAATTCAATTTAATTCGTTACGTAAATTACATTTTAGTATAGGTTTTAGAATTACCTGGGACGCAAGCTCTTGCCCAAGCCGAAAGGCAGTGAGGCCATTTTCAGAGAAAGCAAAATCGAAATTTTTTATTACTAAAATAACAAACATTAATTTTAATTTAGTTCAATTTCGACAATTAATTAATTAATTAATAATTAATTGTAAAATAAATGAAAATTGATAAGAAATTACCGTCAGACCCAAGCTGTTCCTTTTGCTTTTTGAGATCAGAGCCTCCAACAAAACCAATCACAAGATGTTTTCGTAGGACTTTAAGAATTTCTAATATTTCAGGCGTAACAGTCTAAAATAGATAAAAATTCAATATAATTAAAATAAAAAATGTACATTGATTGATATATAAAACTATTTTCAATTGATAATGAAAAAATACCTTACGAGCAGGTGTCAGCGTCCCATCAACATCAAACAGAACTAAAGTATTAGGAAATTTACGGTCTCGCCAAGATTCGCTCATTTTCAATCAAAATGATGATGCTATAACAATTCGGTGGGCTTTATTTTGTTGATCATCTTGTGATCGTCAATACACATCTTACGCATCATCTTATAAGACACTGTAGACATTATATCATCTTTGTTCCATTTTATTTGCCAAATTTTCAACCGCTTTGAATGGTGGCTTCGGGAAAATGCCTTCTACAGCGCACCAAGCTGCGTTGGATCTTTACAAGTATGCAATCCATTTTTTTTTTTTGACTCTCTTCTAGAACTTAATTTTAGTGAAACCTCAAACCTAGGTTTCCTTGACACTATGTGTACGTGAAGATTCATTGTTAAATAAATATGCATTAATCTACTTGCCAATAAACAGATCTACGGTAGAGTTAGAAGTTGATTTGCGTCAGCTGTTAAAAGATAAACAACCTTTTGATAAAGAAGTTGCTACGGTTCGTTCAAAGTATGTAAATAGTCGAAAACTCGAGTTTACTGATTCTTGTCTCATCTTTCTCAAATTGACCTTATCCTTTCCCACGTATTTAGGTTGCGAGATAGCTACGAAAAAATTATATTTTTGGATTTTGATTTTGCCCAAGTGAAAGACATTGAACAAAGTTTATGGAAATATGTTTTTTACAGAGTCATTGAGGAATATAGAAAGAGAATTCGATTGGTACCTTCTGATTTAGACTAGATTGATCTTGTTCTTCATTTTTGATTGTATTTTTTAAAGAGAACAAATATACAGGCTCCAACAGGTGGAGGTTCGTCCAAAGGACCAACTGCCCGAAAATTGATTGGTTCCTTTCGTTCATTTTTGCATGAAGCCACCGGATTTTATTATTCTTTTATTCAGAGGCTTGCCATGCATTTCCAACTGGAGCAATTGGAACCGATCATTAAGAGATTCGGATTGATAACAGGTGAGTTAACTCGAATTTAACAGTGTAGCTATATATGATTTTGGTTAACAAAAGTATTAATAAGGATTTTTTCACGCTAGAAGCTCTCGATGATTCTGGGACATTATTTTCAGAAGATGTAAAACATAAGGCTGTGTTAAGTTGTCATAAAAGTCTCATATTTCTTGGCGATTTAGGTTTGTTTTATTCTTGAAGTAACTCGATATTTTTCTATTTCTCATATTCCAATAATATTTTGTTTATTGCCACAGCTCGTTATCGTGAAATGCAGAATGAGCGTCAAAGGAAAAATTGGAATATAGCAAGTGATTATTATTATCAAGCGCTTCAGTTGGTTCCCGATAATGGTAAATATTTCAATAATGTCGATAATATTATACATTCACAATGGAAGTTTCACTTAACAATCTTCGTTTTTAAATAATCAGGTAACCCACACAATCAACTTGCAGTAATCGCTACCTACAATTCAGACGACCTTTCTGCAATATATCGCTATTATAGAAGTCTTGTTGTCCGACATCCTTTCCTTACCGCTAAAGACAACCTCAGTTTCATGTTCTCAAAGGCAAAAAAGGCTTCTGTGGAAAGCTCGGAAAGTCCATCACAGAATCCTCAAAACGATAAAGCAGAAAACTTTAATCGACGTCGCCTCTCGCATCAACGACCAGCCCCTTCATCCGTACAAATTAATTATCACCGACAAAAAACATTCGAATTGATGAACGTTGAATTCATAAGACTACATAGCATTTTATACTTGAAGTCGAAGTAAATTTTCTTTATATTAGGGTTTCTTATGTAAAATACTGACGACACAAATCATTAAAAATTTATTTTATTTTTTAGCGTTGAAGTATTTTCCAAATTAAAAACTTCCTTTTTAGATAAATTGAAAGAAAATACGCTTCTTGTTGCATTAGAATCGGATCAAATTTTGAAATTATTAATTATTAATATTGCTGCGTTATTCGTTTTGAGACACATCAATAATGGTATGTTTTGTTCATTTAAAAAGCCTTGATGTTTATAACCTAATCTCTTTTGGTTGTTCTATTAAGAAAATGGACAGAGCAACGGGGTCGCATACTCTCAATCATCGAAAAAAGCTTTGATCGAAAAATTTGCCACTTTGCTAATATTGGATACATTCAATGCTCTTTTGGAAGTATGTAATACGGAGTTTGCTGAATTGATAGAAGATGCCAAAGAACTAAAGAGCGCCGTCCAAGCTCTTCCAGCTGCTGTCAAAAGGCTCTTAGCACCTTTGCGCATAGCCATCAAGTGGATTAAAGTTAGCCTTGAATACTTGGCCTTCATGTCGGATATTATAGCAAAGGACAAAAATATTATGCACGAACATGCACATTTCTCGAGATTTTGGGAGACTCTTGCTCAATTTCTGAATTCTTTGGAGAGACTTTTCCCCCACGATCAAGGCATTCCTATTGACGTTCCGTTGCATGAAGATTTTGAGATGAATGGATTTATGGCGTTGAAAAGTGCTAACGTTCTGAAGGCGCAAGAGTTATTTTATCAGGATGAGCCGTTTGAAGAGTATGATATGCGAATTTATGATATTGTTGAAGATGCTAAATATATTGCCGATTCAAAGGTTAGTAATACGGGGTATTATAAATTGAGCGAATTGGGATTACCATTGATGCTAACTCTAAAGCATGTGAAAATATTTAGGAATCCTTACTTTATTTTGTTGATGGGTTGTTCACTGCCAGAAAACCCGTTTCGCCTGTTATTCCACCCTTAAATGCGCAGGTTGAAATAGAAGATGAGACATCTAACGAGGATGTCATGGAAACACAAGATTCTTTAACAAACAACAATAGTAATGATTTGTTTGAATCACAATCATTTGCTTCGAGCAGTCCTAAAGCTCTTAGTGGAGATGCAAACGATGATGAAGATGAAGAAGTGATATTATTCATTGGCCGACATAAAAACGGAAAAGAACATCATAATCCCAGGTATATATATTCCCTTATTTCATCATAGTCGAGTATTATTGTGTCGAGACCTTTTTACATTATTATTTTTATAACATTACAATAGTGTTGCCCGCGAGGAGAAAAGATCATCTCCGAATTTATCAGCCTCCCCTTCGAAATCTGTTGCGACAGAAATTCTTGAGGACAAAAAACCATCAACAACTTCCCCATCTAATACTATCACCATAGAAGCTTTGTTTAACGGTAGTCAGAATCTCTCCACCGAATCTAGGGGCCAGGCAGCTGAACAACAAAGTTATTGGCATTATTTCAACACGCCTCAATTGTTTGCAAATAATCTTAACGAGCTTCAAAACATTAATAACAAAATGATATCTCCCTCCAACACGCTCAACAAAACAAATACGCATGAAATTGCTGCAATCCCTGAAAGTCCTAAAAATAATACAAATGGCACTTATCAATTTGCACCTTTTCCACCCAATTCTCCTCCGATTGCAGGAGTCCCCGATGCATCGCAAGATCCTTTAGTCCTCCCAACTAATCGTCAGAAACCCAATTCGGCTCCTACCCCACCAAAACGTCTTAGCATTTCTTCAAATAGTGCTTCGTTATTTGCCTTTCCTGGTCTAGATAACGATGTTGGTAGATATAATCTCTTTGGGATTAGAAGTTCAATTCCTGACAACAATGCAACTCTAAACAATACTGAATCTGGGATGACGACGAGAACCTTGTTACCTCCACCGGGATTTTCTTCACCAATAGGACATGGTTTTCCTTCAAACAATATAACTTCATCGCAAGCTTCCAATGCATTTGGATTTTCATCTTTCGATGTTCCATCACAATTGCAGCGACAACCAACTGAGGTTGTGTCTAATGGATTTCCTGGATCATCATCGCGAACAGATGTCAATTACACTCTATCTGGGACAGAATCCAATGAGCTTCGAGCAAACTCATATTCTTGGTTCTCAAATTCTGCAATAACTGCATCAGCTCAATTTCCGGACGTTTCTTTTACAGAAAAGAGACAATCGAATCCAACTAGCAGTTCATTGCCTTATTTATCTAATGGCTGGACACCTACTTCTTCTATCGGCTAGTTTCGCTCACAAGAATATGAATATTTGAGACATAGCTAACAACACGAGTATTTACTCGTTAAGCCAAAAGTCTCGTCAATTGAATTCAATATTGATCGTGGAACATTTGCGGAATTTTACAAAAAAAACCTAGGAGACGGAATAAGATGGATGCGAGCCTCATTTTGCAGCTTCTAGTGTCACTCATTTCGGTGTGTATATTTAAGAAGTGACCAGAAGAAATTGCAGCAGCAAGATTCGCAGATAATTCTAGCACGCAGTTGTTTGAAGTTTGAATATAGCCGACCGTCTTCATCCAAGATTCTTTGTATATCCGCAGTTCTTTTTTTCTCTCCACAATTTTATCTTGGTTTCCTTTAATCTGCACTCAGATTTATTATTGTTACCAATTTTCTTTTCACTTTTTTATTATTTCTCACGTGTGTAATGTTATCCATATCTTTTTTCCTTTTTCCTTTTTCGTATCCGCCTGATCTCTCCTATTTTTTTTTCTTTCACATTTCACATCATATTATTACTGTTTATATTAGAGATACTTTAACTTGAATGGGCGTGATATAGAAGCGGCCATTTAATGCCTAGGAATTTGGATATATATATACTTTATGAATTATATGTGATTCTCACATATATACCTATTTTCTGATTGGGTGTGTTGTAGAATTTGATTTGAGGATTTGCTCTGAATATGTTGACAATCAATCAGATATTCGAAATAACTAGTAGATGGAATTTTTCTTTAAAAAATGTACATCTTTCTTTCCTAGGTATTATTTCGGATTTATCATATTTTTTGAGATAATAATAGGATGCTTTCTTTCATTTTCATAAATCATTACACACAATTTTACTATGATTATTACTATCAATTATTATATTAATATAAGCTATGAAAGTTTTATCTCGGCTCCGAACGCGCACACTTATTGCATTATCGATATGATTATATTTCAAGTGTTTGCCTGGAATGAAGGGTTTTATGGTTATAACTACATATATGAAAATCCCTAGCATAGACGCGTTTATAAAATTGCCTGCACAAGCACATTTTTTTGTATATCCATTCATTTGAGATATACGGTTTGCGATTTTGACTAGCTGGTGCTTTTTTCTTTCTTCCTTTTTGGTCGTTTCCGTTGTTGACACGTCTCAGCATAATATGTCTGTCCAGAAAACAAACAACAAAACGTGGTGTTGATGGATAAACCTGAAAGTAAATAAGTTGTTCATTGGATATCGAAATGCACAGTTAAAAATTGTATTTCAGAAGTTTTATATTTACATCTAAATAATTTTTAATATAGATATTAAATTTAAAATATCTGTTTTAGGGATATCTGACTAATCGGTGGTCCTGACGCTTCCATATTGCCAAATATTCTGATGGTCTCTATCTAGGTAGAGTTCCTTTGTTCCAAAAAATAAAAGTCATAATAATAATAGCTATGCCCCAAGATATATGTAACTAAAATAATCAGAGTCATCGGATGATTTGACAACTTTTCCTGCTTCTACATGTGATTCTATCCGATCGAAGCTCAAGGTTCCGAATGTTGTTTCATAAAATTTAAATAACGGAGCAATCTGAACTTTCGTTCACCAACATTTCACGAAAAAGTCGGATAATTATCAACAGCATTGTAGCTTTAAAAGGGTAGAGAAAATATATTAATATATGTGATTTTTATAATAATAAATTTGTAATCGCATATTTAAAAACACACAATGACTTGATACTTACAATTCCATTAAAATTTTTCTGTATAAAGTCTAAATAAATTTTCTTCATCATTTTTAATATAAAGAAATAATTTCAATTTTACTATTTTTTTTTGGATTTCTGGTAATTTATTGTAAAAGTGTATGTAATAAAAGATAATAAAATATAAAATTATTTAAATAAAAATTTTTGTATATTATATTATATATTTTGATTCTTTTTTAAATTAAAAATTCTATATTAAACTATAATATGATATAGAAAATCTAAAATTATCAAATTTGATAATTTTAGATAGTATTATTAATCTTAATATGTTTCACTATTAATTTTTATAAGTTAATATTTTTCAAATATTTTGCAATTTCAATATTATTATTAACTTGATTATAAAATATATATATATTTGTTGTCATTATAGTTCCAATCAAATTTTTTTGGCTATTGGAAGCTTCCAATAACATTTTCTATAGGAAATTGGAATTGTTGAAAGCTTCCAAGAACATTACTGATTTAGCATGTTGCATTATGAAAAAATAAAACCCTTATAATTAATTTTTTTAAGAACGCTTCATTTCTAAAGGCATTATCGTATATATTGAGGAATGATGATAATGATCCTTATATTTATTTATTACAAGTCAAACAGAAATTCCGTATTTCATGAAGATCGTAGCTTTGATTTGAAGAGAGCGAAGGAAAAATTAAAAGAGGGAAAAAAAGATCACAAAAAAGCATATCAAATAAAAAAAATACTTTTGTACAGAACACATTCGACAAAATCCACTTCCGCATGAACAACAGAATTCAAGACAATCAGTGCAAAGTCTACATTCACAGAAAGTGCAGGAATCATCGGGTCCTCTTCCATCATTAACACTTTTTAATTTACAAGAGCCGCAAAAGATAATATTATTGTTTTTGTTAATATTATTGTCATTAATATTGTCATTATATGAATTGATGAGTGGTTGTTGTAAGCCATTCATGTTTTTATCGTCATTAGGTTTTCTCTCATCATCTTCTACGATATGATTATTCTGATTCTCTTTTTGCTGTAGTTGATTTTGATGTTGTTCATTATAAAGTTTGCGTTGACCAGCTAAAAGTAGTTGTCTTGTATGTGCTAATAATAATATTTTTTTATTTTTAATCACATCGAAAGAAATAGAAGAAACAATAATTTCTATAAATTTTACCATATATCATTTCTTGATTCGTCTCTTTACAACTGATCTTTTTTGGAGTGCTACAAGAAGGTTCTTGTTCTTCTTTGGCAAATGGGTTCTTTCTTTTTGCAGTAGAAGAGGAGGAAGAGGAATAGTACGATGGAGACAAGTCCATTTTTTTTTAATCTTTATCTTTGTCAATTTTGGATGTTAACGCGCGTTATTGCGTTTTACACGTAAATGATTTTCGGATTAGCGACGTGTAACGATAAGAATTTTACATAATTTATTTTTGCAATTTTTTTTTGATATAGATAATAAAAAAATTCCCTTTTTTTGTTTTATTAATAAATGGGTGATGTGAGCCGCTGTCTACGGATAGGTTTCAAATAAATAAACAAATTAATAATTTAATCTCTTGCTCTATTTCTCTTAAATAAATGTGTTCTAACAGACTATTATATGGCGAGTAACTAACAATAAAAAAATAACGCTTTTACGTATGAAATATTGAGTTCTTGATGTTCTCTCCATTCTCTCTTCCAAATGTGACGAAAAGATAGATAATACATATAAAAATTTTTCATCACAAAGAGCGTGAGATCGAGAGAGGTATTTTCTTCAAAAACGAAATTTTTGCATACACATGTGAAAAATATAGTTTTATACATAGAATCGATGATTATTTATAAAAGCAGTGGCTAAGATGTCGTTGGAAAGTTTTCTTTGATCTGTGATAAAAAAAATAATACAAACATAACATAAGCATAAGGGTATAATATAACCTTACCCCCTCCTCCCTCCCACCCACTTACCTGAGATAATATAAATATATGGGTTATAAATTACAAGGGTTAACATGATTTTAGCTCCGACTCTCCCACCCCCTCAATAATCAGCCATAAAGAAAAATAAAAATAGTCAATGAAGTTTCTAACCTTTGGATGATCTTCTAATGCCTCCAAATCTTTTGTACCCGATTTAATTTCCTGGGCTAATTCAGGTTCCGAACTTATAATCTCTTTCAGTACCGCTTGAACTTTATGATATAACGACCCCTCCAATTCGATATTATCCGGATACTGAAAATATACACCCTCTTCTAATTTTACCGCATTATACCCTATCATTCCATGAATAATAATTAATGAATGCGCAACATTTACTATCACCAACTTTCCCTCGAATCAGTTTTTAATCAACACTCAAAAATAAAACTCAAAGAAGAATGCATACACCCAATACTTTCTTCAAACTCTGTTCGAAAAGCCGTTCGTGTGTTCGTTAACTCTGCCGTACGTAGGGCAGTTGGGCTTAAAGGTGCTGGTTTTTTATGTGAACTGCTCATGTTTGAAACTTTGAATTTCACAAAAAATGGGAGATTACGTGGCTCCTTTACAAGCATTTATGGTTTCGGCCACAATTTGCCACAACTGAGCCACGCGGCGTCAAATGATCAGTATTAATATCAGTCTTGGTGTATTTTCACAGATATGATGATTTAATGAGGCACGAGTACTATTTATTTTTCTTCAACCTTTTATGTCTTAATACTTTTTATAGTGGGCATGACTATTTATTATTCGACTTCCTTCCCGGATCCTTCCCACACTAACACTTCCCACGGCTTAGCCAGGTTCTCGCTCACCTTTCCTCTATACGACGTTCAAGTTCCTTCACGGGTACCAGCTCATCGATGCTCGCCATAATGTGTCATACATTATCTGGATGGAAAAGGTAGTTCGTGAGATCTTCCGTCAGATTAGTTCATGGCTTGCTCCATTCAAAAATGCAGCCACGATCGTCCAACATCCAGACGACGAACCCAGAACGGTCTACAAACACAGGACGACACCGGTGATATTGAACGTTCAGCGAAGTACTCTATATCTTCAACGTCCAACAAATCTTCACTCGTGACTTCATGAAACTCGTAACGGTCATCCTTCGATAGGTCAAGGAGGAGATGCTTCGCTGGCGTGGCACCTCTGGCAGTTTTGACAAAGTGGCTTCACTTGGATCGGGCTTCAACCGGGTTTGATGAGTCACGGGTTCGTTTCCGCGCAGTCCATCGAGGTCTCCATTCAGATCTCGAGGGAAAGGTTCCGATCGTTCTTTGATCAAGAACTTTCTGTCATTTTCTTGGGGCCGTGCTCCGCACTTCTCAAGCAATATATAGTGTTGTTAGTTTTCAAAATACTGTAATATCTCTTTCGCCAATAGCTATTTGGTAAATATTGTCTGTGTTATCAATTTCTTGGGCAGAAAGATCCATACTCTCCCAATTCATCATTAACTTTAATATAACGACAGTGATGACTTTCTTCTTTAATTTGCTTCCAGGTTTTGGTAGAATAATCATTGAGAGTTTGGTCTGAAAAGTGCGATAAACTTCGGGAAAAAGAGCATCCGTTAAAAATCTCTTCGGGAAAGTGAGCACATTCTTTTGGGTAACAAGCCAAAACCGAAAAGCATAAATTACAATAATAATTCCGCTCCCCCGTTTTGGTGAATCTGATGATGTCTTTCAGGTCTATTTTTTCCTTAATTATCAAGTTTGCGACGAGCTAATTGTCAAGGTTGATTATGGGCTTGTTCGAGAAATTCATATTCTTCCTCTCTTTACAATATTTAATAATGTCTTTTCGTTCTAAAGAAGAACCTAATTAAAAAAAGCTTTTTGTTAATCCATGGCATATAACAACTTTTCTAAGGCTGGTCATCCGCTTCAAGCTTGTCATTCTTCAAATAAAAGAGTATTTTCTTTCTTTAATACTTCCACAAAAACTAAATAAGTTAATCTTTGAATAATGGCAGCAGTATCATCGACCCCTCGTTCGTAAAAATATTTTTTTATTAATTGGTTAGTATGATTAACTATTATTGTTGTTGTTCAAAAAGGTTGGGGGATGAAGATTGAAGTTTTGTTTCTCGGATTTGTAATAACTCCAGTTGATCATTTAATTTTGCCACTTCTTCTTGTTCAGCCAGCAGAATTTGAATTTCCTCGCTGTTTAATTTTTTACTTAAAGCTCTTTTTGTCCTTTCTAGCCTTTCTAATCGTTTGGAGGTAAATTTGCTACCGCTATCTTGAATAATTTCTTCTTGGGTTTCCAACAAAGTGTCCAGCATATCTTGAGTTTCATCATCAAGTTTGCTTTTTGCTGAGATAGTCATTTCGCTTAAGCGGAACTTTTTGCTCTGGAAATAATTATCTATAAACTTTGTGTAACCTGAACACGTATTTCGCAAATTTTCCAAGTCTTCTAATTGATGCCACAAGATTATATTTTCCTCTTTTTTTTGTTTCAATTCTTCTTCCAAACTACTTATTTTTTGCTTCTGTATTTTATCTCCCTCCTGCAAAACCAGGAATGGAGTATAATAACGAAAATGATCTTTCCTCCACGCCATCATATCATAATGATTATAAGGTAATGGCCGGTGATAAGGTTGCAATGGTAATAACAATTGATTGGAGTTGAGTTCAATACTTCTTTCATTTTTTTTTAAATATTTAATCCTTTTTAAATTATCTGACAAGTATTCTAGACCGCGATCAATATCGGTATTATTGATATCCAACTCTTCTAATCTGCCTAATTTTTCTAATGCTCTTAAAGAACCAGTAAACTGGTTACAGGTGTTGTGTTCGGCAATGATCTTTTTACTATTACCAATTGAAAGTTTTTCAAGATTTTTGAAACGACTGAAGCAAGATAAACCTTGTTTAGGGAAGTTATTATCGTCCACAAAAAGCTCAATCAATTTTTCCGGATCCAATTTAGAGAAGTCGAAGTTAACAAGGCAGTTATTAGAACAATCGAGTCTACTGATTTGCGTACAATTGCTCATGTCAATTTTGGCAATTTTATTATATGAGCAAGTTAATTCTTCTAACTGCGTGCAATCATTCAGATCAAGACTGGTGATTACATTGCCGGAACAATTTAACTTTCTTAAATTGTTAAAAAAGTACAAGTTCAAGGAACCTTTGAGCTCTTCCGAACTAATATTTAACTCCGTTACTACTTCTCTCGTTTCCGGTGGGTGTTTCTGATCCAGCCATATTTGTGCATTTACCATTTTTAAATATATTATTTAGTCTTTTAAACTAGTTGGAAAAGTTAATTACGTAGTTAGTGGTGAATTTGGTGTATTTTCTTGTTTCTCACTTTTTTCTTCTAATTTCAAGAGAATATGTAATAGATCGCATTATTAATATTCCAAGGTAGGTTTTGATTCTCTTTTTACTTTTGTAGCGAATTTTTTTCTAACAAGATTCTGACTTCTTTTGTCAGCAAACTTGAATTTGATACGTAAAGTTAAAGGGACAATAAATTTATTTACTAAACACAATCAGTCCGGCAAAACAATACCGATACAAAGAAAATGAAAAATGTGAAAATACAGGAAACACAAGTTTAAATCTAGTTTGAAGCATTAATAAAACATGTCATCGTGTTACCGATCGATAAACTTGCCCCAGCAGTTTGATTGGCTGAAAATGTTTGTGGGCAAAATCCCAATCCCAAATATGTATGAACTTCAGATCTTCATAGAATTGGCTTCTATCATCTATTTAACTGAGAATCGGAGATAATCCGTAAACCAACTCATACTCCATTAAGCTACGTGATAGGATCTTTAACATACTTCATTGGAAAAATTATCAACAATAAAAAACCAAGCAAGTTCTCTTCACTATCGATATTCATATTCACTTTTATTATTCTTCATCATTTTCATCGTCATCAAATGGTGGTAGCCCAAATTTTATTGGGTCAAATTGCTTTAAGGAAGTCAGAATCTGAATAGCGCCATTATCTTCTGGATGTACTTCCAAAGTACGAGGATCGGGTACCCAAACAACCTTTCAACAAAAAAGATATTAAAAGCATTTACCAAGAGTAAAATAAATCAATCAATCCGAGAAATTATGTGGCAAACAATTCTTATTTACTTACATGCATTCCGGCATTCTTTGCTGCCTTGACACCAACGACTGCATCTTCAAAAACCAGACACTGTTCTTTTGGTAGATTTCCGAGAAGCTTGTGTGCCGCAAGAAATAGATCAGGTGCAGGTTTCCCGTTTTTGATGTTTGGATCGTCACCACATACTACGCCCATGAATAGACTAAATAATTCTTGGTGGTTGATAGTTTTTAAGTTGAAGTGTCCACGAAGAGAACTAGTTGCTACCTAATAAAATGATATTTGTATCACTCAAAATGCGTAACATTTAAAATTTCTATTAGATCAAAATTTACCACAATTGGTATATTATGAGATTTGAGATGTTTCACAAGTCTCTGCATCATTTATATAATGAAGGATTAAAAATTAGTTTAATTCTTAAAAGTCCGCGATTACTTTCACGTACATACCATTACACCGGGTAATATTTTACAATGTGGAAACAGTTTAACCTGATCAATAAGATAGCACATTAATTATTCAAACATTGTAAAATTCAATGATCGCATTAGAACAAACGGTTACTTGTTCCGCATTTCTTTCTCTTAAATAATCATCTACAGTCATATCGAGCCCAGTTTCTCGAATCAATATCTCAGCAGCCTAACATATCGAGATCATAAAGTTAGCAAGAAAATGTCCTGAAAATGTCCTGAAAAATACATACATCACGGTCACGACGTCCCATCATCCGAGTTTTAAGCTCCCAATCATATTCTAGACCAAATCTCGCTAGTATTTTGGCTGTATATTTTCAATATTATAATGGTTATATTGCGATTTTTTATGAATGAAAAAAATATTATCTAAAATTTATACATGTCACTATGGTGTAAATGCTTTCAGTGTCCTGATTATTATCATATAATTGTTAATATTATAGATGTTTTTTGCTTATAATTCAAAATAAATACCAGCAGAAGTCCTATTTGAAGAAATATTATATAAAAAATGTTATTTTTCTTATACGATTAGTTGAAAATCAGGAAATTAAGAATTGAAATTCTTGCCATCCATATCAAAAAGACAGTGTGTAATTTTAATCGTGTCATTAATTTCTTTGTTCATCTTTTTGGATACGAAAATATGTAGAAGCAAGAAAGATTAAAGGTGAGTGATGAAATAATCGGTTGTGATAGTTGAGCTTTATAGTAATAGGAGCATTACGTTTGTCATTTTCCCCAATATAAGGTCGTAAACTATAATGTTTATGGAGATATTTAAGATATGACACAAGAACAATTGCACAATTTACTTTATTAGTTTTATTTAGTACGTATGACACTAATTTTTCCAATAGTCAATTCTTTGATTTAATGAAGATCGAATTATTAATTTATATTTTATTCGATTAAAATATAAATTATCCGATAAATTGTATTGAAAAAAAAAAGAATGTATAGAAATATAAACGTACACTATTTTACAGAATCCTTAGTCAATGTTTATATATAAAATTAAATGTACTATACAGTTTGGGTATTGTTAAATTTTTCAACTATCTCTGGATGAGTAACATCCCTGGAAAGAGCGGAAACGGACAATAATTGTTGAGCTGCGGGAGTAGTGGGTGATGTGGGTGATGCGGGTGATGCGATTGCTGCGTAAACTGAAGTTTCAATTCCCAGACTCGCATCGCGTATCCAAAACATCCCGATCAATGAGCAAATAAAGAGACCCAATATTTGTGATATCACGAATATCCAACTTTTAATCTCGGGGAAAAGGCATTTACTACAGTAATATATCACTAGGTTAAGATTAAACCTATTATAAGTCAATAAAATTAACAAGTCTACCTGACGCCATTTGAAAAAAGCGTTAATGTAGCAAATGCAACTACAGAGACCATCGCATGACCCCATATCAAGGAACTTAGAATTGCCATTAGTTAATATAAGCATATGAATAAAATGTGAGCAAAAGAAAACTTACTGTCCAATATCCATGTAGTAATCAGAACCGTTAGCATATCTATTAATAAAAACTTTCAGATCATTTATCTTTTTTTCTATATGTAGATACGTCCATTATCACACTTACAAAACACCTGATCGCAATCTTCTCTTTTCGATACCATTTTGTTTCGAAAGAGGTGGGGTCCCACCAGTAGGAATTCGTTTAACAAACGACAAAAAAAACGCTAGAAAGAATCCAACACACAACGCAACAATCAATGCAGCTTTTTGATTGCTATTACATGAAGGAGTACCCGTGCTAATTGGCACGCTAATTAGACAAGTGTAGTTTTCTCGTGATGTGCTTACGGTGGTGTTGTAAAAAGTATTTATTGTAGTTGGCGTGTCTGAACCAAGTGAGTATGCAAATGTCTCCAATGCCGAGTAGATTACGTATGACCCGAGTGGCAAATATGTGGCAAGTCGAGCGATTTTGTTTGCAAGATCCTTTTTTATTATAAAAAAAAACTTCAGTTCTATTTGCGTTTGTAATTTTAAAGATGTCATGCATAAAATACTCTACCGATGTAAATGGACCTCTACCTGG